CAAACCCTCACCCGAAACCTGCGGACCCAAAACATGCGGCCTGGAACTGTCGCGCCGAGATCTCTTCCGGAGCCACGCCCTGCCACGGAAGCTCGCGAAGGCTTCTCTACGGCTGCTCTCCCACTATGAACTTGGTAAGTACATGTCTCCTTGCCCTCCGTTCGCTCCCACGGCCCGCCTTCAGTGCTTAGGGATATTTAGGGTTCAGGCTTTAGGGTAAGCGAGCTTTAAGAATTGCAAGGAGCCTGTGGCTGCGATCGCCGCCGAGGGGCCTCAGGACCTCGGTTTGGAGGATTTCGGGTTGATTCGGAGGCTCCGGAAATCAGTACTACGTGTAAAACCTAACTTAGCTATGTGTGGATCATAATAATGTGTGTTCTGCTGATCTTGAACCTCCAAGTCTGGTTTAGGATTCAGGGTTCGAGGGTGCCGCGGGAAGTCTTATGTTATCTTTGTACAGTCGGGTCTGACCGGATATTTGGAGTTCTATCGTGGATCAAGATGGAGCTCGGCGATGAGGCCCTGAAGACAAAGGCTTGCAAGGTTGTCCAAGAATATGCGACGATCTCCTGACAACTTTCGGACGACAGCCTGACCCCTTAGCATCTGGATTCATGGCTGCGTCGCGATCATTTCACAAGAAAGCACCGCAACTTTCGGGTTCTTAAACCCTATGTACATCCTAAAGTCAACTTTGCTGAACCCAGGGTCCCGAGCTCACCGTCCGAGGGGCGGCAATAGAGCAAAAGTCGCGGACCTCGTCTGGAGGAAGGGTGCCGGTGCAACGCAATGTCGAATGGATCCGACGACACTGATAAAGATACGCGAGCCTTCATCATTAGAAGAACAGTGTTGTGGAGCATAATAAAAAATGTAGAACATATAACCATTCAGACCTATCTCTTGGACCTCCACGACATGTTGGCCAGGGCCCTGTATCTCCCAACGAAGCTGGCCTGGAGGCCCTGGATAGAGGAGTTTAGGTTCGGGGTGGGGTTGCGCAACGAGTACCCAAGAGCTCCCTGAAGTTGCCATTGCACACAACACATGATGTCGTCTGTGGTAGCTTCAGCCATATCCATACATAGAGCATTCACATCGTGACACCTCCTGGTGTCCAACAGCGTAGGCGAACACGACACTAGCACCTGGAACCCTGGCTGTCCCCTGACTCAGAACGCCGGCATGGCTTTAGCATCCTAAAACAGCCAGCAGCGACCCTCTGAGGCTGGTGCCAACTTACCACTTTGTCCAAGCCTGTCCACATCGATCTTCTGACTTGTCGGGTATCATGGGGAACTAAAGGTTAACCGGTTAACCTTTCTGGTTATATGGGGATTATGCAGGGACGATACTACCCAAAAAAGTTAAGGTTACCTACTCGACTACTAGGCCTTAAAACTGCATCCTTGCTGTCTGAAGCTGCCAAGTTCATATCACTCAATTCGCGAACGCCACCGCATGGTACACTACCAGAGGCCCCCCGCAGGCCCAAAAATCAAGACCAGTTGGAAATTGCGGCGGCAGCAATGTCTTCGATCCCCCATCGGCCACATCGAGAACAACAGTCGAGTCAAGCCCTAAAGACACATAGTTCACTGCGCCTTGAATTCCTGTTTGCGACGCATACTACCCAAACCCATAGGCAGGAGCTCCAGGCATCAGAAGATCTCTCGATCCGGACATGGTCAGGGGTGCGACAAACATGCAGCGATTGCCAGCGAGATATGACCCTTCGTCTAGCACGATGTCCAGAGTCGTCCAAGATTTCGACGACGTGTCATTTGGAAGCTTTCTTACCGTCATTTATCTCCTGCTGTCGTGGATACCGTTACTAGTCTTGTATTGTGCAGAATGTCGGGCATGACCACCAACATGCTCTCATCGTGATGGAATTCCTAACTGCTTCCAATCATGTCTAATACCCGGAAACCCGCCCCAGGCCGTTAGGATAACGGAGTGGAAGCATATGATTGGTGAGATCTCGACTAGCATCTCACGGTTGGCGTGTCCAACATCTCTTTGTTGAAGTCCTGACACTGTAAACCATGCGGTTCATATCAACACATGCCTTTGCGGCGAAGTTGCCAAACTCAGCAATGATGAACACGAAATCATGACATGCCCCAACAGCACCTCCCGAGTTCCAAAAATACGCATAGCCTCAGAGCTGCGCACTCTAGGAGTTCAAGTTCTACGGATGCTTCTCTACTCAGCATCGTGTCAAGTGTCTCCCATTCAGTTCAGTTTGGCTACTTGGAGGATCGTGGGACTTAGTAAGTAAGGTTATAAGTACCCTAATGGGGTTATAAGTAAGTATAACTATAATTACCCTACTCTATAACCCTAATTACTAAGTCCCATGATCCTCCAAGTAGAGGCCAGGCTTCCCAAACCTATGTCGCAACCCTCCGCCGAGGAGCCCAAAGCTCTGCACCCCCGACTTCCGCGAGCTTTTACAACTTTTGCAGAACCCCAAGAATCAAGAAGACCCGAGGCTCGTGGAATCGTCTCCTCAACTCGCAAAAGTGCTGAAACCGAAAACCCGAAGCCCGCAGCCCTCTTGATCCTAAAGCCGACAGGCCCCGAACCACAGAACCACAGGCTCAAGAAATCCAGAACACGCCCAAAGCACAAAAGCACAAGAAACCCTAGAAGACCTGAATAACACTCCGACCGAAGAAGAAAAGATAACATGAAGCACACTGTAAACAAAACTTCAAGGGTTTGCAGGGCTCAGGGTGTTGAAGCCTAGGGCTTAGGTCTAGGGTTTATACTCTAGACTAGAGCTCAGATCAATCATCCAACGCCGCGGTTTAGAACAGGTGAGCGCAAAGCAGAATTATTGATATTGTAGAGGAAGATAAACAGTAGTAGTCCACACCGTTCGTCGTAGTCGGTAGCTAGGTAGGTAGGCAGGAAGCCAGGTGCAGGCAGGTAGCAGGCAGTAGCAGTCATGGCAAGAGTGATAGTGGTAGAGGTAGTGGCAGGGGTAGGGGTAGTAGTGGTGGTAGTAGTAGTAGCAGCAGCAGCAGGAGTAGTAGTAGTAGTAGTAGCAGTAGTAGCAGTAGCAGTAGTAGCCGTGGCAGTTGTAGTAGTCGTCGTCGTTGTAGTACTAGTAGTAGTACTAGTAGGAGCAGTAGTAGCAGTAGTAGTAGTAGTAGCAGCAGTAGTAGTAGTAGTAGTAGTAATAGTAGTAGTAGTAGTAGTAGTAGTAGTAGCTGTACTACTGCTAGTTGTTTGAGTCGTACTAGTAGTGCTGGTACTAGTAGTAGTAGTAGTAGTAGTAGTAGTAGTAGTAGTAGTAGCAGTAGCAGTCGTAGTAGTAGTAGTAGCAGTAGCAGCAGTATCAGTAACTAGAAGCAGCAGCAGCAGGTGTAGAAGTAGTGGTCGTAGTAGTAGTAGTAGTAGTAGTAGTAGCAGTAGTAGCAGTAGTAGCAGTAGCAGTAGCAGCAATAGTAGTGGAAGTAGTAGCGGTAGTTGGAGGAAGAAGAGGAGGAGCAGGAGCAGCAGCAGCAGTAGCGCAGTAGCAGCAGCAGCAGCAGCAGTAGCAGTAGCACCAGTAGCAGCAGTAGCAGCAGTAGCAGCAGTAGCAGCAGTAGCAGCAGTAGCAGCAGTAGAAGCAGTAGCAGCAGTAGCAGCAGTAGCAGCAGTAGCAGCAGTAGCAGCAGTAGCAGCAGTAGCAGCAGTAGCAGCAGTAGCAGCAGTAGCAGCAGTGGCAGCAGTGGCACTGGTAGTAGGAGCGGCGCTGCCCATCTAGACCAGCTGACATGCTAGCAACAGCAAGGACTGCACGTCCTTTGTTCATCCTATTCGGGTTAGCTCTCGAAATTCAGCCCTCTTTTCTGGTCCCCAAAACAGTATGGCGCCAAAAAGAACCATAAAATGGACCTTCAAGCCTAAACCCTAAACACCATCAAGGGGCCTTAACGGGACCCTAATTTGGAGAACTTTCTTGGAGGATCATGGGGCTGAGAACATAAGGTTGTAAGACCTTCATTGGAGTTATATGTATTTATCATTATAGCTACCCTGTTTCATAACCCTAGTTGCTAAGTCCCATGATCCTGTATGAACCCTGAACCCTAAGCCCTTATGGTACCCCTGTAGATTCCCTTAAAGGGACCCTTAAACCCTAGTTACTGAGTCTCGTGATCCTCTAGCGACCCATTCTTAGTAGCTGAGTTCATAAGCCCAAAAAAGTGCACGCATTTAATTTTATAGTGGGTAGTATTATCCCAAAAAGTGCAAAGTGTATCCACTCAGCTACTCAGCATGTAAATGGAAAGCCTCAACTTGTCCCTTAAGTCCATGTCTCGTTGCTCCTGAAGGCGGGGGGAGGGTTTAGGGTTTCGGGTTTAGGGTTTAGGGTTTAGGGGTTCTGGGTTCAACTCAGTAGGGCTTAGGGTTTAGGGTTCCACTCAGAGTTGAGGGCTTAGTTGTTTTAGGGTTTTGGGTTTAGGGCGTTGGAGGTCGGCTTGAAATCACAGACGGGGTCAAACTAGTGGTCATTTCAGACACAGGGGCCTCTATCATTAGAACAGCAACAGCTATATACAAACTGCAAAGCGGTATTTACCAGTAACACCGGAATTAGGAAACGGGAAAAATAGCCTCTAAACCTTGTCAAACCCCAAACCCGAACCCCTCAACACTGTTACACTGTTAATCCTGAGAAAAGCCAAATTTCCGAATGCCCAACGACACCCTGTTGTAGCCCTCCAATAGCTAAGCAAACCGTCAAATAAGCGGCCCCAAAGGAACTCCGCAACCAGATGCCTTATACACTCCCTTAGCACACCCTCAGAGCCCCTCTTAACCCTGCACCTGCCTCAACCCGAACCTGAAGCCTGAACCCCGAACACTAAACCCTCAACTCTCACTCACTCACTCGCGCAAGAGGACGTCCTGTGCTAACTACAGCGTGCAAGGGCCCAAAAGCGTGACTGCTGTAGTCACGCGGCCAGAAATGGAGAGAAACACTGTACAGGGGCGGCGAGTCATGCTGCCGGATAGGCCCAAAAAGCTCGCAAAGGCAGCGAGGCCGGGGCCGAGCAGGCAGGGCGAGCAATGACTGCACGCACAAGGGAGGCCAAGGAAGCAGAGCTAGCGACAAGGAAGACCCGTCCCCTCGGCGAAAGGAAGTCCAAGAAGAAGGCCGCCGGGAGCAGGCGGCGCAGCAGGGCAAGACCCGAATTGCTGGGGCGCCCCCAAAGCCAGAGGGCACCGCTACGGAGGACAGCCTTGCAGATCATACGGAAGGATACCGTGGCAGCGGCCAACTCCAACAGAGACCACTTGCCAGTAGTGGCATCAGCAAGGGTGGCTGCTGCTCCTAACCCGCACGAAGAGGCGGAGCGCAGAGCACCAAAGCGACGGATGGCCCGATGCTCCCAAGGTTCAAAGAACTCGAGCGCGGACCACATAGGCCAAAGCCGGTGCCAGGAGGAGGGAAGCTGAAAGACACCTCCGAGGCCAAGAAGCCCAGGCCACCAGGGCGAGGGAAGAGCCCAGTCGTCACAGCCAGCAGCCCCTTCCACAACGGAGAACCATTGCAAAGGGGGTTGCACAGGAGAGGCCGCCTCAGCAGTGGCCGAGCGGGAATGCTGGGAGGCAAGGGGCGTGGGGGAGGAACCACGTGCAGCGGAGATATGGCAGGCCTGCTGTACGCCGAAGGCATCGTCGGAAGGCGACAAGGAAGATGGTCGATGCAGGTTGCCGGGGACAAGGTCCGAGAGGGCAGGGGAGCGTTGAACAGCGTCCCACTCAGCTTGCAGGGCAGCGTCATCGGCCGGCACCCCAAGGTCGGCCGCCCGTCTCTGCGCTGGGGTGGCATTGCAAGGCCCGCAGATGCGTTGCGGAGGGACTCCCCGGTGGCTGGCGCGACCCGAACGTTTTGTGCCCGAACCGTACTGATAGACAGGGCCGACTGTAACGCGCAGGCCGTGCAGGCAGGAGCGCTGCGTTTGAAGGTGGTGCTTCAGTCGATCCGAGGATTGGAAGTCTCGCATACACCAAAGACAAACCGAGCCCGCCATATAGGCAGTCACATCAGACAGGACGCCGTGTTTCCGATGCATGTGAGCTCGTACTGCATGAAGGCTCGGGAAAACACCGCGACAGACCGGGCAACTGTAGGATTGTGGCGCACCTAGGATCTTGGTGGTGCGACGGGTGGCCAGGTCCGCCCAAAGCTGGGCGCAGGCAGCATACCTGTGCCCAAATTTGCTCAGAGCCTTGCACGCTCGAAGGAGAGCGCGTCCGTTCTGCTGAACGAACAGGACAGTGATGGCGGGAGGAGCGGCGGGGTCCCAGGAGTCTAAGGCGACTCCCACTCGCAAACAAGCAAGGACGAGGGCCTGACACCAAGGGATTGCCCGGTTCCACGCAGCATCGACAATTTCCCTGACAGCCGCTGGAGCCTTGCAGAAAAGTTGCACACAAAGGCGGCACTGGCTAACAGTGGTAGCAAGGTCAGGAGGGGTGAAATCAGCGAGAAGCCGAAGCAAGGGGGTGGTAAGTTTGTGACCGACTTGCCAGGATGACAACAGGATCCTAGCTGTGCGTTCAAAGACGACGCCGCCGCTGACCCCCGCTGTGCCGACAGCTCGCAGTCACGCCGGCCGGTGTCTCGAGGCAATTGGGCTACACCCAAGTATTTGTACTCAGGGCAAAGTCGAATGCTGTCACCTTTGGAAACTTCCAAAAGGGCGTCGCCACTGAGCAAGGCGCCTCGTGCAGCGCATGCGCCGTCTCCCCTAATATCGACAAGGGCCTCAGTTTTGCCTGCCCCAAGGTTGACCCGGAACCGCAAGCACCGGAGGGTATCAAGAATGACACCGGTGAGTTGGGGGAGCTGTGTTTGGAGCTCGGCAGGACTATCAAAGTCCGCGAGGACGGCAAGGTCGTCAGCCCAGCCAATCGGCTTGACGCCTGGCTCGAGGCCGATCTCGACCCCGGCACTGGTGTGCGAGATGCCCATGGAGCAAGCAGTGCGCTGGATGTGTTGCAGCCCGATGGCAAATAGGGCGCCGAACAGAACGTCAGCTAGGCCGTCCCCGGGACGGGAGCCTCGGGAGGCCAAGAAAATGTTGTCCGACCCGGAGAGCGACCAGTGGGATAGAGCAACACAATCCCGAAGGAGCGCGCTGACATCCTCAGCAACGCCAAGAGCGGAGAGAGCCCCCTGACCGTGAAGCTGGAGGACAAGTCCAGCAAGGTGATGGTGCTCCGGGACATCAACATCGTCAGGGAAGCCATCGAAAAGAAGATCTCGGCTAGCCTCATAGTAAGCGGCTTGGATGTCGACAAAGACAACAGCAACGCACCGCCCCGCAGCGACGGAAAGGTCCCAGGCGCATCGGAAAGCGGCCAGTGCAAACCCAGTGTGGACACCTCGGCGCCCTCCTAGCTGCATGGGCTCATAACGAGACAGCACATGTCCACCGACCGTGGTGCGGAGGTGTGAATGCCACAGCTTAGCGATGCCGTTAAGGAGGGCGATGGAACGGTAGTTGGCAGGCACTGATGCCGGGCCCTTTTTGTAGAGGGCGCAGACGATGGCTTTCTTGAAATCGAAGGGTTCTCGGCCTTGAAGCGCAATGCGGGTGCAGAGTGGCCAAAGCCATTGACCGGCAAGAGCTCCATGTTCCCGCCAGAGCTCGTTCCGCAGGCCGTCAGGTCCTGGTGCCTTAGCTGGTGCCTGTCGGATGCACATTTGCTCCATTTGGAGCAGTGAAGGAACTGCCTCGAGGCACGGGGAGCGAGTGGCAGCGACAGAGAGCCACTGCTCGGCTGTTTGTGAGAGCTGTGCAGGAGAGACGAGGCGGGCGCCTTCCTGGTCACGAAATTGTGCTTCAAGCTCACGGTCGATGTCGAAACCGCCAGCGGCGTGCACAGCCCGACGGTCATGTGCCTTGCGAGAGGCCCATCGAAGATGCCGGATAGATTCCAAAGGAATGCCTGTGGATTCCCAATGCTGAGTGGCAGCAAGGGTAAGAGTGCGGAAATGGGCAAGCTTGTCAGAACGGGCTAGATAGTGTGCCTTCTGCTGCAGACCCCGGATGTGCAGATTACAGGCCTGTAACAACAACCTGGCATGTTGAAGCCCGGTGGGGTCTGGGCGAGGGACAACAGTGTCGGATCGTCCCCTGGCGCAACTCCATCGCCACACGAGCAGAAGAAAGCGCCGTTTCTGCCATTCGACATTATTGCGGAGGCGCGGGAGTTGCTCGCGAGCCTGCCGCACAACATCCAGGGCGGCAACAGACTCAGCAGTGATGTAGGGCTGGCGGGCAGGCCGCCGGGGAGCTCTCGGGAGGGCCTTCAAGAGGCGGAGGTGCTTAGCTTTGAGATCCCTGATCTCCTGTCCAACCTCAGCGATGCTGCGCACGGGAGATGGGAGCTCGCACCAAAGGCTAGCAGCAATAAGCTGTGCTTGCTTAGCGGTAGCTCGGTTGGATGCCCCGGGGGGTCTTGCCAGTGTCGCCCGTCGTTTAAGACAGCATTCAACAAGGAGAGGCATATGATCTCTGCGGCCGTTGAGAATGTCCAACTCGGGAAGTTGCCGGGCGCGAGTGCACTGCCATGGACCCGCCTGAAGCAGGAGGTGGTCAAGCCGCTTCCGGGTACCGCCCGTATGCTCCCAGGACCAGCCCGGGCCCTGTTGGATGGCGGAGAAGGAAGCTGGTGCAAGAAGGCCGAAGCGCTGGATAGTGTCAAAAAGACCTTGCTCGCCAGCACCCTCCTCACTGTTGCCCAGACAGTCGCCGATATAGGCGTGGTCTTCGTCCGCCCAAAGGAGGTCAGCGTTAGCATCCAGGCCGAGAACAAGAGACAGAGCCCGGGGCAGCTGGCACAGGGACGAGTGCAACGAAGACCAAAAGTGGTGAATCTCAGAAGCAGGCCGCTCAGCGTGGGGGGCATGGGCGGCGATGACAGCAATGGGTAAGTCCGCACGCTTGCTGACAATAACGAGAAGACGAGGGTCAGCACTAGCGATGCGCCAGTCATCGAGCCGCAAGGGCGGATTGGTAATGCCAGGCCTTATCCAGATTTCACAACCATAGCTCCCTTTCTGCGCGCCAGGCCGGCTGTGTCCCAACGGCCACCCTTGCTACGGGCTTCTTGCAGGCAGACAACGTCGAGGCCTAAGGTAGCAACCTGGGAGTAAAGGTACTGGCGCCTCTGACCGTGCCCTGAGGGATTGAAGAATGAGGCGTTGGAGTCACGCATCGTTTGAACATTGGCTGTGACCAAGCGCAAAGGGATGAGAGAATCGGCAAGTGGACGACCCGGTGGAGCAGCGGCCTCAGTGGATGTCAAGGTATCCTCGACAGGAGGGAGCACGACACCAGCCTCAGTACCAAAGGCACATGAAATGTTCTGCGAGACCAAACAAATGCACGGCCGACCCTCTACGACACGAGCATGTGGGATGACCCAGAGCCACGGAGCCGCGTTTTGCATGAGGGTGGGTAGCGAGGGGTCAAGCTGTTTCCACGGTTGCCAGGAGACTCGACCCGACCAGCCGGCAAGGAAGTCCGCGAAGGTGTTTGGGAGCACTCCGACGTGGCTATGGACATGCTGGAACCGTGTGGAGAGCCGAGCTTGGACGGCCTGCCAAACATACCGAGTGGTGGTGGTGGCAGGTGCTGCGGCTTGGGCCTGCCCTGCTGCGATTTGAAGTGCCGCAGCGTTATCGACCGCAACAGTAACCTTGGTAGGGGCAGAGGCTGTGAGAAGGGACAGGCGGTCAACCCAGGCAATAAGCCAGAGTCCGGCAGCCTGTAAGGCCGAGAGTTCAGTGTGGAAGGAGAGGCCGCCTGCCGAGGGCGGCAGGTCGGGGGTCCAGGGGAGCTGATAGCCAGAGGCCCCAAACCAACCGACGCGGTACCAACGATGGCGCCACCAAGCCCACACACAAAAGGCCCATGCCCCTCCATGCTCGCCGCTGCCGTCAGTGGCAATGAAGACCTGGTCAGGCACTCCCGTGCCAGAGCGGGAAGTTGCAGAAAGCCTGACGGTATGGTGGAGGGGCGGATGCGGGAAGAAACGGGTAAAGCTCATGAGACCACCAGAGTTGGTGGATGGACGCCTGGGCGACGCATTCCGCATGAACATCGGCCGACCACGAGATTCCATCAGTGCTGCTAAAATCAAACGTGGGAGCATGGCAGTCTCCTGAGAGGGCCCCTGCACGGGGAAAGAGCGGGTGAGCTGGGACGGCCGGCGGGCCGTAGCTTGCCAGGAGCCCGAGGCCAAGGGCCGCAAGAGCAGACCCCCAACTAAAAGGTGGGGAAGGAGAAGGGACGGGGTTGGTCGACAGCCAGAGAGGCTATCTCCGTCACGCAGCAGGCCACTCGCCCCTTGTCGCGGAACGACCTGGACGCGCAGGGGAGGCTGTGCGGGAAGAACATGCGCACGGTGCAGGTTCGGGCTCTCAGGGACAAGGTGAAGACCAAGGTCATCAAGCCGCTGTGCAGGAATCCATCGAGTGACACTGAAGCGGGCAAGGGAGGGCCGAAATGTGCAGTGCACGGGGTCCCATTGTTCGTCACGGACCGTGGGCACAGTGAGTGGGACTGGGTCACCGGGTGACCAGGCAAACAGGAGCCCAGGTTGGCGTATGCTGAAAGGGCTTCCCCAGAAGGCGAGGTGACGCGCCTGGAGCAGCGTGTCCCAGTAACGCCCGGCCAGCGAGCGGAGGCGAGGAGCCCAGGTCTCTCCAGCGAGAGTGAGAACGTCGCCGGACCGGAGAAAAAGAGTTGGATTCGGTGAGGTAGCCGTCCCACACCAAATTTCGGGGGGTGCCAAGATGAGAGACAGGTCCCGGACAATTCGATTGCAGGCTCGGAGCAAGTCGGCAGCGGCGCACGTAGCTGGAAGGAAAGCAGCCCGGGTGGCAGGTGGGCACTGAAGAAGGACGGTGGCGAACATCGGGTCAGAGGGCACCGGAACCCAGTCAACAAGGCGAGGGTCCTGTGGAGGGTGAACCCGGGTAAAGGATGACCATGCGGGAGCAGCATCTCGAAGAGCGACGGGAGGCTCCAAAGAAGCTCCACGGAAGGGTCCAAGGACCCCACAAGCAGGATCCCACAGCCGATGGCAGGTAGGGTAACAGTCTGGCAAAAGAGGGCCCTCTGCGTACAGGTCCAGAGAGGAGCTCGGGGCAGCGCCAGTGTAGCGAGTAGCCCAGACAGGATGTCCCCAAACGAGTCCAATTGCGAGGAGAACAGCACTAGGCCCGGCAGTACGCCACCCAGACACCCCGATCAAACTGAAAACGACCCAAGGTGCAAAGCGTCCGGAGGCCTCGGACACCACATCGCCACTGCGTAGGGTAGTTCCCTGCCTAAGCTCGTGATGAGAAACACCGAGGACCCGAGGTTGACCGGAAACAGTCGGCAGTTCAGTCCACAGTTGCCACGCATCTGTGACAGCAGTGATGGAGGCGCACCAGCATTGACCATCCGCCTCCACCACCACATTGGCACGGGATGGGTCCTCAGGGAGCAGGACGAGATGCGTGTGGTCCTGGGCAATCCAGGGGACGGGCACCCAGCGACCGGGGTAATGTTGGCGGAATTCCCCTTCGAAGGTGAAGTCGAGTGCCTGCCAGCGAGCTCCTGCGGGGGCATGTCCCCTAACGGCCCTGACGCCCGGTTGCCACAGAACGAAGTTCGCTCGAAAGGAAACTGAAAAATCAACCGACCATATGGCGCAATGACGGACTTGAGTGTCAGAGTGGAAGCAGGGCGGTTGATACTCAGGCACAAAGGCGGCGGGCGGAAGAGCAACAACGAGGTCCCCTGAGCGCCATCTAACATTTTGATCCGTGGTGGCCTCAGCAGTGAGAGGGCTGGGCGCTCGCACGGACAGGGTCTGCATAGGCTGCAGAAAACGTAGAGCAAAACTGAGCCATGACACTGAAGTGACACACGGGGTCAGGATGGAAAAGTGTTGATCCAAGGACGATATGGCGAGACACACCATATCGAGAGAGAGGGGCCGGGGCACAACAAGCAGGGCAGGGATGGCCGCTGTGGGCCACACCGGCGCAACATCAGCCGCCCATGCAGGGTCGCACGCCCGCGCAAGCGAGCTCAGATCCTCAAGTGTGGACACCGTGGGGAGACGTCCAGCTTCCCGCGGACCAGTGAAAGGGCTGAGATACACAACGTCAATCTCAGTGCCAGGAGAGAGGTCGACGAGGTCCTCCTCACCGGACTTGGCTCGCCATGGGTACAGGCCTGTGCGAATGGGCCTATCCGGCACCTCCAGGACCGGGACCATGCCACACACGTAATGAGAAAGGAGAGCGAGAGTAAGCCAACGGGGCCATCGAGCAGCGACCGCAAGAAAGGCAAGCCAACCAGCCCCTCGTATCCCAGAAGGCGACGAGCAGGAGGGCCAATCAGAATGAGACTCCTCTACGGCCGCAGAGGGAAGTGGACCGAAGGGGTCCCACACCACGCTGGCGTCTGGGTCGATGACTAGCACATCGCCGTCTCGAAGAGGGCTGTCCGCGCGAACATATTGCAGAGCGGGCAGAAGTCGCCACCCAGGAGGGGCACGATAAGCATTGCAGCCCGCGAGCCGCCGGCCCTGTGGCGTGAGGTCCGGCGGCAGAAGGAAGAGAACGTGCGCCTCACCAACGGAAGCTTGGTGCACCAAGTGAAGACTCGACAGGTCACCCGTTAGAACCGGGACCCATGAACCTGACAAAGCCTCCCCGTTAAGGCTCCAAAAGGTGGGACCTTCAAGGTCCCAGTAGCCCGTATCCCTAATCCTTATGTAGTGCCCTTGCCGGCGATTAGAAAACCAGAGAACTACTAGCCCACCAGAGTCAAACCGAAAAGGAAGAGACCAGCTGGCAACCTGTCGGGCCCGCTCGAGGGAGGGATACTGCAGCAGAGGGAAGCGGGTGGCCTCTGGCTGAGATTGTTCAGGAACAATACTAAAGGCGTCGCCATTACGCAACCGTAGATGAGTGTGCGGGTTGGCTGCGCGTAGCACAGGGGGCGCAACCACTCGCCAGTAGCGAGCATGCGTGAATACTCGAGCGGCGAGCCGCTGGAGGTCAACCAAACTGGAGTCAACAGACGCCAGAGCCACGGCTGAGCAACTTTCCATGTGAAAGACAACTGTAGCGAGGCCGTATGGGGCCACTGGAGCAAGAGTGAGCTGCGAGACGGGAAGCACAGCACGCACCGGAAAGAACCTGCGCGACCAGAGACCGCAGTGCCGAGCACCTTCATGCTCTACTTCCCGCCAGGTGCCGGCCAGGTTAATGAACAAGAGCTCGCTCCAGCCCCGCAGGGGGCAGAGGACTCTGGCAGTCTGCGGCCGAGGCCCCGGAAAGTAGCGTGCGAGTGGGCCGTCTGGGGCGTCAGGTCGCCAGCCACTCTGCGGAACGTAGGGCTCACCATCATTAAGGTCGACTCGAGGAGGGAAAAACCGTCCCGGCCACTGTGAACCCGGTGAGCGACTACGGCTGGGTCGCCGGCGGGTGCGGATGGTTCTAGCCTCGGAGGAGTCAACACTTGGGCAGCTCGAAGAACCAGCCCAGGCATGGGCGGCAAGGCTGTAGAGAAGCCAGGCAAGCTGTGCCGGGAAGGAGAGATGGCGCCCAAGCAGCCCAACGGCCGCTGAGTGGACCCACCAGTCGCCATCGCGCACAGTGGCAGTGCGACAGGCGTGGCTTGAAGCAGGACGAACGGTATAACCTGAGATGTGAAGGTCATGAGCGTCGCGCTCCACTTCAATGCAACGAGTGGAGTCGCAGGACTGGATAATATTAGCGCGGCCTACCACTTCAGACTGTTCAACGAGCCAAGGTGGTGCACCGAGGTGACCATGGCAAGGCGCCCAGCGGTGGGTTCCTAGCTCCTGTTCATGGTTATGTACCGCAGCAGCTGCGATCCATCGGGCTTGATGCCTTAAAAGGGCGACTCGAGTAGGGCGGCCAGGTGACCACAGCAGGACACAGGAGGCCTGAGCAACGAGAAAGT